GGCTCAGCACTCCCTCCCTGGGGCTGAAGGTCTAGGAGGGGTTTTTAGTGCTGTGTGTTGAAGGAGATTATTTGCCCGCCAAATTCAAAGGTGGAGTAGGCAGCTGGATAACGGCACTGCAGGGCTCCTCTCGCTCTCTGGCCAGGGGCTGTGGGTTCTCCTGCTGCTTTCCCTCCTCTATCCTGAAGTGATGGGTCAGGATGCCCCAAAAATCACACAGGAACCTGGAAAAATGATCCTCCCCCACACCACCACACTGGGTTAGGGACATGTTCCCCTCAATGAACACATTTTTCTCAGCAAAAGGGGAAGATTTTATTAAGTTAAAAGCAGCTGCCACCCTGGGGGAAGTTGGCTCCGGCGGGTGCAGTAGCAGCCTCACAGCTCCTCTTCCCCAGAAAGGAGAGACCCTGTGGCTCTGGGCCGCTGCCGGTTTGGGTTCGTGAAGGAGCCAAAGGACAGGTGTGGAGAGAGCTTGATAACGCAGACTCTTGCCAAGGTATCCTCTTTCAAAAGTCCCAGGCAGGCACATCCATGGTAGATTGCCCCAGTGGCTCCCTCCTATGGCTTGCATGTCTTCTCCACAGGTCCCTGGGGGTGGCATGGAGAGGGGAGCGTGGTCCTTGCCGTAGATCCCAGGGGGGCCGTGGAGACATTTGGAAGAGAGGGAATATGTGCCGAAGGTGGCTGGGAGCAACAGGGCTGGGGAGTCAGGGGAAATGAGATTCTCTTTTTCAGGTTAGAAACTGCTGGTGATGTAGTAAAAGTTTTCCCCCCTCCTGTTCCCCTTCTTCCGGGGGGGGGCAAAAATTCCTCTATAAAATATAATTTTCACATATAAAATCCTGGAGAAGGTGCATGTAAGGAGCCAGTCCAAACAATGTGCTCAGGTATGCAGGCAAAAGGGGTTCATCAAAAAAAGCTTTGGGAGGGGAGTGAGGAGGCTGGGGGGTGGGTGGGATTCCTCTCCGGATGGGGATGGGATGGGATTCAACCTCCCCCTCTCCACAAGTGAGGAATGGAGCAAATACAAAACAAGAACAGATAAACAAATGAAGAGCAGACCTGGAGAGAGACAAAAACAGAAATGGTTTAGAAAGACTCCACTGCTCACTCAAATGCCCTCCCCTTCTACTGGGGACATCACGGCATCCCTGGTGCTCACCGTTACTTCCCGACGCTGTTGCACAGTGACTCCTTCTCCTGCAGAGCCGCCATGGCCAGGCGCAGGTGCTCCTTCAGCTGCTCGATCTCTCGCTCCGAGCGCACCTTAATATGATTCAGCTCTGCATAGACGTCTTGGTATTTCCCTGAGGCAAATCTCTTATCCTGCCAGGGGAAGTAGAAGGAGAAGCAGGGTTTAGGGCTGTCAACAGGGAGGAGGGCATCAAAATGAGCCCAGCAGGAGAAGGGCCAGCAGCTGAGCAGGGAAGCCAGCCCCAGGTTTGAAACCCATCCCAGTATGAGCCACACATAAAGCAGTCAGAAGAGCGTGGAGGTAGTGCTTCCCAAAACCCAGGCCAGGAAGGCAGAGTCGCTGGTCCTGCAGTAGCAGGGATCTGCAGCATCAGATTAAGGGATGCAGGCTTTACCATGGCTCGTGTGCATTTGGGCCAGCCATATGGGAAAAAATAAACCCCACCAGAGATGCAGGCTGCTAAAGGGCCAGTCCCAGCCACTTACACAGCAAAAAGCTTAAGTAAGAAAGTTATAAACTCCTGGAGCATCACTGAATCTCAAAGCCTCTTTCAGGTCCTCCTTTGACAGGGGTCTTTGAAAATCCGTCTGGAGGAGCTGCTGCCAGTGGAGGGAGCAACTCACCCAGCAATAGTGCCCAAGGAAACGTGTCCACCCAAAGAGGGGACAACTAGGGGACAGAGAAGGCAGCTGGGAAAGCAGAGTACAGGGCAGACTTCATCCAGGCTTCTCATCTGGGAAAGAAGGGCTTGTCCGTGCTTATATGCACATACATCCAGGGAAACTAGCAGCGAAGTCCCCTCCCTCCCCTCTTCTGCGGCTTTCCCAGTGGATCCCAGAGAACACTGACCTTTTGCATCATCTGCAGCTCCTCCCGGAGGCACTGCACCTCTTTTTTGAGGCACTGGAGCTCATTCTCCTTCACCCGCAGCAGCACCTGGGCCGGCAAGAGGAACCAGAGGTGACTCAAGAGCCTTGGAAAGGCCGGCGGGCCCCAGTGCAAGCACAGCGGGGTGAAAAGGAAGGAAGGGCCAGGAAGGCCAGGGCAGGAAGCGGCGCGAGTGCCCCGGGAGAGCGGCAGAGGGGAAGCCTGCAGACCTCCTTCCTGCATGGGCCCCGCGGCTCCATCCGGCACCCCCCTCCCACCCGCTCCAAGCCAAAACCACCACAGAGACCCCTGGCATGGGGTGGGGATGGAGGCAGCAGGGCAGCCCGGGGGCACCCCCATACCTCCAGCTCACAGGAGCTCCGCTCGTTGTTGTGCGGAGAGCGGTCTCCGGAACTCCGTGACGAAATGAAGCTTCGCAGCTTCCCGATCTCATCCGAGAGGCGGGTCTGCAGCTCCTGTGGAGAAATATAGATGTCAGGGTAGCCAGGGCATGGGCCGCTCCACTATCTTGACCTCTCCATCTTCACGCCAGTCCCGACCCAGCTTGGAGACCCCTTGTAATCCCCTGCTCATACACGATGCAAAGAATACACTTGCTGTATTAAACACCATAATTAACACAGGCTTATCTACAGCCTCTAACTCTTATTTTTTTTCTTTCTGATGATAACAGAATGGAAGAAATATGAACAAACGGTGGAGTTTTAATAGAGAGGCTGTGCTGTGCAAGGGAGGAACATGCTCTGCAGTCTCTGCTGGCAGGGAAAGCCTCTCTCTTGCCTGGTTTTTCCGGAGGAGCTCTTTCCCCTCCTGCTGACAGTGCAGCAGCGTCTGCTCGCGCTCCTCTGCCTTCTGGGTCAGCTCCCCGATTTCCAGGCACTTTTGGGAGTACTGTTCGGAAAGCACCTGCAACTCTCGCTTCAGGGAGTCCACATCTGACCTGTCAAAGAGGCATCAGCTCATTGCTGCCCTGCAATCCTCGCCAGCCCCCCGCAACAGTCATTGGCATGAAATCATGTCCCCAGTGGACCAAGGCTTCAGTTCCCACCATCCCATTCACAAGTGTGGCACTCCTAGGAGCTTCAAGCCATGCAGGAGAAATGGAGGAGCTTGCCACAAAGAAAATAAAGGGAAGAAGCTATAGGGAAAACAGAGGTGCTGTA